AGACAGGATCTCACTATGCAGCTCAGGCTGGCCTTGAATTCACCATGTAGCCCAGGCTGGCCTCGAACTCTCCACCATCCTCCTGCCTCAGCCTCTGAATGCTGGACTCACCAGCGTGTGCCACCACACCCAGCCTGTAGTTGTATTTTGATTCACCTTTCCCTAATGACTAAAATCACTGAACATCTTTTCATCTGCTTATTGGCCATTTGTGTGTCTTCTCTGGAGAAATATCTTCACCAGTCCTTTGCCCCTTGGGTGGTGTGCTGAGGATTGAAGCAAGGGCCTTCACGTTGAGCTAAATGCCCAGCCTTTTTAAATTTTATATTTCGAGACAGGGTCTCACTCAGCCACTAAGTTGCCCAGGCTCAGCTTGAACTTGCAGTCCTCCTGCCTCAGCCTCCCAAAGCACTGGGATTACAGGCATGTGCTACCATGTTTAGCTGTACTTTCTTGCCCCATCAAGAACACCCATCTTCCTCTTTGCTTCCTGCCCTGCTTTATTTCTTCTCTCCTTTTCCTTTTCTCTTCCCCTCCTCTTTCTTTCCCTCCTTTCCATCCTTCTCCTGAACAAAGGCACCGGCTCCAGCCGAGCCATTTTCTCCTCTGAGTCTGTTCTGGAGTTTGCCGGTTCCTTACGCAGACTCTGCTTTGCCCAGCCTTCGGGTTCCTGGACGGAATGGCCTCCAGCTGACACCAGACGGAGAGGAATCTGAGCCTGGGATTTGTAGCTCAGGTCGCATTTCCCTCCCTTGGATTCCACGCCAGGCCTGGGACAGGCTGGTGACAGGCGCTGCAGAGTGAGGGCGGGCAGAGCGGGCTGCAAGTGGGTGCTGCCCAGGGGCCCAGGGCTCGAGCCGTCCGTCCCGTGCCCTGGACCTCAGGACTGGCCCGCCGGGCAGAGCAGTCGCTCCTTTTTGCAGCTCTCAGGCCAAGAATGATAAGGGACGTTTGGGAGATCGTTTAACACATACGTGATGGAGCCATGATTCCTATGTCTCGCTGCTGGGCAGCTTGAACCACTGGTGGAACAAGCATGACTGTCTCATCGGGTGTCTTTTTAATAAAAGAGTGTTTAGATCCATTTGTACCACCAGTCGTACAGGCCACCCAAAGGGACAGTCATGTATGTACCACTGTGGTTCAAGCCAGCAGGAGCGGCTAAGATACTTAGCAGAAAAAAAGGTAGGAAAGTGGGGAATTAATTACCCCTTCTGGGTTTGGTCACGAGGTGTGCATCTGATTTCAGTTCTCCAAATGTTTGTCTGTGTGCTGCACTGCAGATTGAATGCAGGGCTTTTCTTTTTGGAGATAGTATCTCCCTAAGTTGCCCAGGCTGGATGCCACCATGCCCAGCTTAGCAAATATTTATCAACATCATCTACTCATTTGGTCTTTAGGATATTTTCTGACATGATACTCACTGTCTTACTCAAAATTCCTAAATTTTTATTGAAGTGCAACATATATTAGAAAAAAGCACAGATTGCTGGACATGGTAGCACACACCTGCAGTCCCAACTACCCAGCAGGCTGAGGCAGGAGTCTTGCCAGTGTGGCTAATTTAGCGAGACTCTATCTCAAAATGAAATTTTAACTCAGGAGGCTGAGGCAGGAGGTGAGTTTGAGATCAGCCTGGGCTACAAAGTGAGCTCAAGGCCAGCCTGAACTGCATAGGAGATCCTGTCTGAAGGGGAAACAAAAAAAAAAAATCTCTCTAAATGAAATAAATCTGACACAAAAACTTAAATATGGCATGGTTTCTCTTATTTGAGAATCCCAAAGTATAAATCCCCTAAAGAGCGAAATAAAAGAGAGGTCATAGGAAACGGAAAGATAGATCTTTTGTAGATGTGGAGGGGTCCGAGAGAGGGAGGAGGAAGGGTGGAAAGGGGCCAGAGAAAGAATGATGTGCTGTACCTTCGTGAACGGCCCACGATGCAGGTATTCATTATGTACTGCCGACGTGGACTAACAACAATAAAAAACGTTTTCCCCTCCAGGCAGAGAGGCAGAGGAAGACAGCAGGTGGGTCCGTGGGTGGATGGGTGGATGAGTGGATGGGTGGGTAGATCGATTGCCCACAGTACCTTAAACTTTTGGTGTCAGCGTGTGCTTCCTGTTGGCTTAAGTCTGAATTGACATCCCAGAGTGAGGGATGTCACTGAGGCCTCGTCCTCGGGTCAGGTTGCATGGTCCGGGCATGGGCCATGGGCATGGGCAGTAGTCGGACGCCGCACCCCTAACCGTGGCGCTGTCCCCTTGCAGGCCCCGGCCGGCGGCATGCGGCTCCCACGCCTGTCCAGCTCCGCGGTGACCGTGCTTCTGCTGGCGCAGACGTGCCTCCTGCTCTTCCTGCTCTCGCGGCCTGGACCCTCGTCCCCAGCCGGCGGCGGGGCGCGCGTGCACGTGCTGGTGCTGTCCTCCTGGCGCTCGGGCTCCTCGTTCGTGGGCCAGCTCTTCAGCCAGCACCCGGACGTCTTCTACCTGATGGAGCCCGCGTGGCACGTGTGGGCCGCCCTGCCGCGGGGCAGTGCGCCCGCGCTGCACATGGCCGTGCGCGACCTGGTGCGCTCCGTGTTCCTGTGCGACATGGACGTGTTCGACGCCTACCTGCCGTGGCGCCGCAACCTGTCCGACCTCTTCCAGTGGGCGGTGAGCCGCGCGCTGTGCTCGCCGCCCGCCTGCAGCGCCTTCAGCCGCGACGCCATCAGCAGCGAGGCGGTGTGCAAGCCGCTGTGCGCGCGGCGGCCCTTCGCGCTGGCGCAGGAGGCCTGCCGCTCCTACAGCCACGTGGTGCTCAAGGAGGTGCGCTTCTTCAACCTGCAGGTGCTCTACCCGCTGCTCATGGACCCCCTGCTCAACCTGCACATCGTGCACCTGGTGCGCGACCCGCGCGCCGTGCTGCGCTCCCGGGAGCAGACGGCCAAGGCGCTGGCGCGCGACAACGGCATCGTGCTGGGCACCAACGGCACGTGGGTGGAGGCCGACCCCCGCCTGCGCGTGGTGGGCGAGGTGTGCCGCAGCCACGTCCGCATCGCCGACGCCGCGCTCAGCAAGCCGCCGCCCTTCCTGCGCGGCCGCTACCTCCTGGTGCGCTTCGAGGACCTGGCTCGGAACCCGCTGGCCGAGATCCGAACGCTCTACGCCTTCACCGGCCTCAGCCTCTCGCCGCAGCTCGAGGCCTGGATCCTCAACATCACGCACGGCGTTGGGCCCGGCGCGCGCCGCGAGGCCTTCAAGACCACCTCCAGGGACGCGCTCAACGTGTCGCAGGCCTGGCGCCACGCGCTGCCCTTCTCCAAGATCCGCCGCGTGCAGGAGCTGTGCTCCGGCGCCCTGCGGCTGCTGCGCTACAGGCCGGTGTTCTCTGAGGACGAGCAGCGGGACCTCACTCTGGACCTGGTGCTGCCCCGAGGCCCAAGCAGCTTCAAGTGGGCCTCGTCCACGGACGCGCAGCCCAGGCCTTAGCAAGGTCCCCAGTGGCGGCCCGGGAGGAGTGTGTGACAGGAAGCGGGCGGCAGGGCACGTGAGGAAGCCAACCAGCCAGCAGGGAACCACAGTGTGAGGATCCTGCCTTGTGCCAGGAAAGGGCTGAGCCCCCAAATTCCGCGTTTCTTTCCCCCCAGGTTCTTGGCTTTCCTTTGCGTCCTGTTCGGGAGCTGGAAAGGCATCAGGTACATTCTTCACGGTCAGCCAAACTCTTGTCCCACTTCCTCTGGGCACAGAGGCGACCTGGCTCCTATTCAAGCGCTCTCTTTCTCCTTAACTCTGGCCCCGCCTTGGGACACACCATGCAGGGACTGAAAAGGTGTTCTAGCCCCAGATAGGGGTGGAGGGCCCTGCAGGGAACCGGCTCCTGAAGTTGGTTTTTTTTTTTCTTTTTTTCTTTTTTTGGTCTTTTTGAGACGGGGTCTCACTCTGCAGTTCAGGCAGGCCTTGAGCTCACTTTGTACCCCAGGCTGGCCTCGAACTCACAATGATCCTCCTGCCTCAGCCTCCCGAGTGCTGGGATTACAGGTGTGCACCACCACGCCTGGCTCCTGAAATTACTGTATCCCCCACTCCCTTTGTATCCTGGATTTTGTTCTGCCCATGCGCCACTGAAGCAGTGGGTGGTTAGATTCACCTGTAGCTTCAGTGAAAAATACCAAGAGATGCCCCTGTTTGTGGTCTCCCATTAGCCTCTCCCCCAACCCCCAGTAGCCCGCATATCCCCATCACTCTGCCCAGCCGTGAGGAGCCGTGTCATGAATCTCGCCAACCTTGATCTGGCTTGGTGGAGAAAGTCCTACTTATGGAAATAAATACAGTCATTGACCCATGTGCTTGAGATTAGTTTCCAGACTGTAAAGTTTACCAAGCAAAGCTCCGAAGTACAGGGACTTGAGCAAGGTCCCGAGGTGAGAAGATAAGGAAGAGGAGCTTATTGCCCTGGAGGTGGGGGGATGGCTCACCAGAGACCTGTCTCTTAGCACAAGGGTGGACTTGTCCCATTTAAGTCGCTTTAGGGAAGAGCAGGTGGTGTCGCAGCGAGAGACACGACTGCGGGATACAGAAGGAGGTCCGTCCTGAGTCCAGCGCAACCTGGATACACCTGGAAGGGGGAGGGGGAGGGGCACATTGGGCAGCAAGCCAGGCTGGGGGGGCAGGGTGCAAGGCTGGTTGGCAGCAGGAGGCATGCCTAGAGGGCAAGCCAGGCAGATCACGGGAGGAATAAAATCCATCGGCCTGGCAGGGAGGTGGGGACAAAAGGTCCTGGAAGAGAGCAGCATAAGATCCCTGCCCGAAGCCTCAGCCTTGTTAAGGGACACTGGGTATGCAAAGGGCTTGGCCCTGAACTCAGGAGATAAGAGCCAGGAGGTGCAATAAAAGTTTCACAGAAAGCCAGATGTGGTGGCACACGCCTGTAATCCCAGCACTCAGGAGGCTGAGGCAGGAGGATTGCCCTGAATTTGAGTCCAGCCTGCAATGCATATGGAGACCCTATCCCCCTCCCCACAAAATGTTTATAGAACCTCTAGGAAAGACAAGGAAGCATATCTGAGTGCACACAGAACACTCCAAAGCACACTGAGGTACACAGCCGTCTGGGGACTGTTAAGAGTTGCTACCAGTCATTGTCACCATCAGCTGCCAGGAGGGTTTCGGATGATCAATGACTTCTGATTGTCAGCATCGGTGTGGATTGGTGGGGCAATGGCCGACCTGGCATTATCTGCTTCTTTCCTTGGAGGGAGCAGAGATCTCTTGACCTTGAAGCCGATGCTCAGGACACCTCATTTGAGGACCCTTCTAACTCTAAAAGCATCAGGCCACATAAAACCTGAATCTGTCCCCGCTGACAGTAAGCACGGGGAAGGGATTTAAAGCCCTGGGTTGACTATGGGATTCTGCAATTTAGAAAGTGACTTAGCCAGGTGTGGTGGTGCACACCTGTAATCCCAGCACTCGGCAGGCTGAAGCAGGAAGATGGTTGGGAGTTCAAGACCAGCCTGGGCTACAAAGTGAGCTCAAGGCCAGCCTGAACTGCATAGTGAGACCCTGTCTCAAAAAGAGGAAAACAAAAAAAAAAAAAAAAAGGAAGTGCCTTAATCCATTTGGGCTGCTATGATGAAATGCCTTAGCCTGGGAAATTTAGAAACAACAGAAATGGACTGCCATAGTTCCGAAGGTCAAGGTCAAGGTGCTGGCTGAGTTTGGTAGGGGTCCCTTTCCTCTGATGGTGCCTTCTAGCTGTCTTCACCAAGCAGAAGGAGCAGGGCAGCTTCCTAGGGCCTCTTATAAGGGTACCAACTCCATTTATGAGGTCTCCACGTTTTTTTCCCCCTGGAGTGAGGAGTTTTTATTTTGAGATAGGGTCACAGTTGTCAAGTTTCCCAGGCTGGATTGACCTTGTGATTCTCCTGCCTCAGCCTCCCTGAGTGCTAGGATTACAAGCATGCACCACCACGCTCAGCTCAGAGTTCAATTTCTTGATCCACCTAACTATCTCCCAAAGCTCCTGCCACCTGATACCATACCATGGGGGTTAGGATTTCAACATACGGCCTGGGGGGAGACACATTCAGACCAAAGCAGAAAGACTTGGGTCCTAGAGCTCCACATCACTGACTTCAGTGTTAAGGTCCTAACAAGTACACCACAGTAGGGATGGACATGGACCAGAGCAAATGGCTCGGAAGGCCAGTTCATTTGTCCTCGACAATGACACGGGGCACCGGAGGCCAGGGAGCTATTTGACTGCAAACATCTCAAGTACCAGATTTTTTGTGTTCATTTGTGTTTTGAGACTGGGTCTCACTATGTATTCCAGGCCAGCCTTGAACTCACTATGTAGCCCAGGCTGACCTCAAAAGCATGGCAATCCTTCTGCGCCAGCCTCCCTAGTTCTGGGATCACAGTCATGTACCACCACACCCGGCCCAAGTACCAGAATGTGGAAGGAAGTGGTGGGCAGCTGGCTGGGGCATTTGGGCCCCTGATGCTGTCCCTTCCCTGCTTCCCTCTCTGTGCCGGAAGGAGTTCACTGTGGGGGGACGGGCCAGCCTAGGAACAACATCGCCGAGCTGAGTTACTGGTGTGTTCCGGGCGAAGAAGGATGAGCAAAGCCTGGGATGGTGTCGCTCACACCTGTAATCCCAGCACTCTGGGAGGCTGAGGCAGGAGTAATCCAAGTTCAAACCCAGCCTGGGCAATTTAGCAACTTTATGAGACCCTGTTTTAAAACAAAAAGCAAAAAAAAAGATTTAAAGGCTGAGGATGTGTGAAGGTCCTGGGTTCAGTCCCCAGTACCACACGGTCTCCCCAAAAAAGGTTGAGCAAGAGCTCCATGACACCAGAGGCTAACGACAAGGAGGTAAGGATCCCCAGGGGCCCAGAGTGCAGCCTGCAGCGGCACTGCACCGGTTTCCTGCGTTCCTGTTCGGTTCAGACCTCACTTGGGGCCCCCTGTGAATGGCGCCTGGCCTCCCATGCTTTGCTACGTGACTCACCCATCCCCTTCGGGCCCCCAGGGTGCCAGGACAGGGATGAGCACCCAGCTTCTCCCTGCACACGCAGCTCTCCCGGCAAGCCTCAAGGTAGCCTGGGGTCCCTGCACATGGCCAGAGTGCGAGCCTTAGGCTGAGGCCCTGGCACAGCGGGCTCCAGGAAAACCTGGGGGTGATGCCCTGAACATGGCCAGGACAAAGGCAGCCGGTTGGCTGGGGACCGGAAAGCCGAGGCTGGGACATGGGGGAGACAGATGTGAGGAAGCAGTCACCACCGGAAAGCCCTGTCACCGAAGACTGCCTGTCCCTGGGCTGGGCACTGGTCTTGGCTGACTTGGGATGGCTGCATGGATGTCCACAATCGGTAGCTGTCTCTGTCCTGTTTGCTTTCTATTTGTTTGTGGCTGGTTGGTTTTACTGAGATAAGGTCTCCTTAGGAAGCCCAGATCAGCTTTGAATACATCGTATAGCCTAGGCTGGCACTGAACCCACGATCTTCCTGCCTCAGCCTCCCAAGTGTTGGAAGCACAGGCATGCATCACCACACCCAGGTGGTACCACTCTCTTTGCTGTAGACCCCAGCTCCTGCCATTCAGAGAGGGGCCTGTTGCTTCACCTCTCAGTCTGGGCCGGTACCAGAACTGGCTTCAACTAACAGCACAGCAGTGCACCATACTGAGCCCGGCCTGGGAGTACAGACCACATGTACCCCTGGTGGTTTGCAGCGGCGGCTCTTTGACAAAGACAGGTTAGCCAGAGAGAAGCAGCTTGTTAGTGCAGTAGCAACAAATCCACCAGGAGAAAGAAAAGTCACACAAAGATGTGGCCTAGAAGTCCAGCTTGTTTGGCATTTTTAAAAACAATACACTTGGGCATGGTGGCGCACACCTGTAATCCCAGCACTCCCGAGGCTGAGGCAGGAGGATCACTGTGGGGTCAAGGCCAGCCTGGGTTACACAGTGAGTCCAAGGCCAGCCTGGGCTACATAGCAAGACCCTGTCTCAAAAACAAAAACAAAAACAAAACAAAAAAAAACAATTTGTAGAGAGATGACTGGATAAAGAAAGGTAGCATCAGGCATCCAAGCTGGGAGTGGTGGGAGTGAAGTTAAGAAAGGAGATAAGGGGGCTGGGGATTTAGCTCAGCAGCACAGCGCCTGCTTGGCAAGCGCAAGGTCGTGAGTTCAATTCCTGGTACCGGAAAAAAAAAAAAAAAAAAAAAAAAAAAAGCAGCTAAATGGGCTAAAATTGGTGTGTGGACTCCCCCGTGCCATTTCTGGGTAGATAAGGGGTTAGAGTCATTTCCAGTAAAGAATTTATATCCTAGCCAGGTGAGGTGACCCACACCTGTAATCCCAGCACTCTGAGAGGCTGAGGCAGGAGGATCACAATTTTGACCCCAGCCCGGGCAACTTTTCAGTGAGTTAGTGACACCTTGCCTCAAAATAAAAAATAAAGAAAAAGAAAAGGGCTGGGGATATAGCTAAGGGTGAAGTCTTTGAGTTGAGTCTTCAGTCTCTCTCTCTCTCTCTCTCTCATACACACACACACACACACACACACACAGAGTATATAGGCA